AAGATGCAATTGAACCTGTCTTTGCAGCCTGAGTAGGGCAACTGCTTGAACATAAGAGGCTGCTGGGAAACAGACCAGAAGTCCATCTGTGCCAGAATTGACTGTGATAGCTGCTAATGGTATGTGAAGAGAGAAGAATAAAAGAAAAGGCAAGCACATATGATAACTCTGAGTACTGCCTCCCATCTGACATGTATCTGCAGTTCAGAAGAATCCCGACTCAGTTTTTGTGGGTTTAGTATCTCTCCTCAGGTTTTTCTTCCATGAATTTTCAGTCTCTCCATAAACCCATGTAAACTTTATTACCCACAGCAACCTTTGACAAGAAGTCCAGTAACTCAGCTGCTACTCATGACTTCATCAAGCTTTGTCATTTCTCTTCCAGTCTGAAGGGCTCCTACTTACTTAGTGATTCCTTAGGTGTAACTCCAAGCCTTTCATTCTCCTTACTTACCCTACTCTAAAACTTCTACAGTTCTATTATATTGGTTTTCCATTGCTAGAGGTAAGAACTATATTATTCAAGGTGAAGATTTATACAGTGGTATAATACTTACCAGTTTTATGTTCTGCTCTTTTCCCAGTGGTGTAATTTGATTTGCCTTTTGAATCTTCAGGAAGCATAAGCTTGTATTTTCATGAATTGCCTACTGTACTTCTAAAATCCTGTCCCTGAACTGGGGTTGTCAGCTTATATAATTTAAGATGCCAATTTGTATTTTTTTACCAAGTGTATAACTTCATATTTTTCTGCGTTGAATTCCTCTTGCCAGTCATCCAGTCTTAAGTCTTCCTGCAGTTCTTCATAGCCATCCATTTTTTGCTATTACTCTGAATACCTCAATATTATAGCAACTTTGGTGTCTTCCTGTTCACTCCTTTTTCTCAGGCCCCTTATGCACATGCTGAACTGCACAGGCCTCCTAGAAAGAACTGTTTGCTCCTCATCAGTTGTTAGCTCATTGTATTTTGTTGTTTCCTATAAGCTTAGTTGCCCTAGCTGATGCCAATTGGCATCTAGAACTGAGAAAAAGCTTTTCTTGCACCCTAAAACTTCTTTGGGGAGGGAAGCACAATTACAGGGAGTGCCAAGGTGCACAGATACTAAAGTCAGCTGTGCTTCTGGATATAGAGAGGGTATGTCAAGAGCTAGCTCATATTTGATCACTTTGGCAGTTTTCAGCAGTGAGTTGTCTCTCACATGGTTGGTTTTTTTTCAGGTAATGCAAGGATCCATATAGTAAAGATGATACACACACCCCCCACATCCCGATAAGAATTGGCGAACATAAAATCTGGCAACATAAATTTTGACAAATATGGGGCATGGGACATTTGCTCTGAGGGGAGACCTGGTGGGAGGGAGGGGTCTTCTCTTCTTTCACGTTGCATTGGAGCAAATTCAGTTAGTTATTCTGAGAATTCCTGGAATAGAGTCTCTCTACCACACAGGCTTCTTAGTATGTATGTTAAGTGTTTGCTCATGAAGTATTCAATCCTTAGTCATTGCAGCTGTCCATACACAATAGGTTTAAAAAGGAGAATGAAAAAACCCAGATTCCGGGTTTAGTCTTTTGAAGAGGACCTCATGGCTCTTAGGTGTTTTTTCTGATTGTCTTGGATGTAATTAATGATGGATTTGGAACCCCAGAGCTCAGCAGTACTGCTGTTCCTTTCCATCCCTGCTGCGCTGCTTGAGATAGCCATTTAGGACATCCCTTTCACAGGTAGTGATGGGGGGAAAAAATCCAAAGCTGCATCAGACAGGGTGTCCTGTGGTCAGTCTTTCTTTTTGACTGTAGGTCAACGAAGGAGAGAAATGAAGTTGAGTGCAAGAGAAATAGTATTAACTTCTATAGGAAAAACATTTAAAAACCTTCGGAAAAAAACTTGCAGAGCCTCTTCAAATTCCAAACAAAATGTTTTATTCAAATGCTCTGCATTTTTTCTAAAGTATTCTAAAGGAAATATATACTGAATGCCAGAAATAATACATCTTGCTGAGACAGATTGAAATAGCAGCTGTTACATGAAGGTGTGCACAAACCCAGAAATGGCTGAAGGAGGGATTGATCAGAGCAGAAATGGAAGATATCTATAGGATATAAACATTTACAAGAAAAGCTCTGGCAAATAAATTATTTAAAGTCTTATTGCCTGGACCTTTCCAATAGCTTCTAAAATATTTTTTACCAAGTTAAACACAAGAAGGAATATGCAAAGCATACACCAGGAATATAAAACTTCATTGATAAAGGCAATATCACAGAATTCTTTTAATAGGCAAAAATATGTATGCAGTGATGAGAGAGAGAAGTTCAAAAAAGTGTAAATATATTCATTGTCCATTAGTAACAGTAAACAGCTGCATTGATTCAAAAGCAACCCGTGTCAGTCCACCATACTACATCTTTCCAATGTCCTACTAGTTGCAGTGGAAAAAATATTCTGGTTTAAGGTAAAAAGAGGTTTGACATTAGTGATCTGTGTTACTTTTGAAAGCACTTTTACCATAAATGATGATTTAGTCTTTCCTCTCTTTCCAAAAAAGAATATGATTCAAGCTTGGATTTTCATTTCCACTGGTACATTATTATGAAGTCTGTAGCATAAATGTCCATTAGAACTTGATTGTCTTAGCTGCTGCTGAGATACTGAATAAAGGCACTCAGGAAACCTTTTTTCCCTGTAATGGTTATTCCAGTATCAGAGGGGTGGCAGAACCTGGGGGTGGGGGTTGTATATCAACATAACATTTGAATGGGACTCTCCAGCATGGTCAGAGCATTACAAATGCTGCTGTTTCAAGAGTAGGAAATTTTGCTGATCTGCACACATGAGACCTTTATGTTTCTGATTTATGGATGAGTCCAGATCACAAAAGGGAAAGTCATGAATTATTATTTGCATGGTTTTCAGCAGTTTTGGTTTCAAAGTTTGCTGAGAATCAACCAAAAATGGAAGCATGTCCCTCCCCAAAATAAGCAGCTAAATTAATCTATAATGCAATATTGTAGATGGTTTTTATGGCATTAACAATGACAGGTTAACTATTTTGTATAAGATCATCTCATGGAGTTGGTGAATCTAGGCCCTTGTTTCTGCTCACTGAAGCAGCTTTCATTTATAATCAGAAACATAGAATCAAATCAGGTTTGAATTGGAGTATGCACATGCCTTTTGCAACAATTCAGTTTCCAGCTGTAGTATCTAGCAGTTTGAAGGGATCTACCATTTTTGTAGTAGTAGATCTGTTGGGTGCTACTAACCTACATTATAAAAGATCTGACTATTGTTTGCTCAATTATAGTTCCTCAAAGACTACAATTCCATTAAAACCAGTACAGATATTGCAAAATGAATTTTAAAATACCTACCTGAAGGCAAATATTCACACAATAGTCTCCATTCTTGTGTCAAGGCTTTCAAATAGATGAGTGAAAGGATCAATGGTAATCTTGGCAGCAGTCCCACAGAGCCAGCCTGTACAGCTGCCTGGAAACAGGTCTGATCCTGCTAGCAAACCCAGGCACTCAGGCCACACCAGTGTTAGACACCAGCTGGTGCAGAGCAGCTCCTACTCTGAGTCCTGACATCTGCAGGAGGTATAGAGAGCCAGGCCCCTGTTCCTTTGTGGTGTAGGAATGAATTGGGCACAGCCAAGCTTGATCTTGGTCTGTCCCCATCTAGCAGGAGGTATGGCAGAAGGATGCTTTAGTGCTTCACTGGAGCGAAAGACTGTGGGTTGTTCCTTGTGTCTGAGCTTGGATTTTCATAAGCACAGCATGGAGAGTATGTGTGTAAGCTGTGGATGGGCTGTGGTCAAACAGAAGCTGACCATGGGGTTTGTACAGTTGTACTGCAGACAAAAAAAGTCAGGTAACAGATCTCACTACAAGACAGAGAGATGTTCTTAAAACATGTTGGAGGAGCTAGCGGTTAACCTTCAATTTGGTAACTGTATGGCATGAAGTAATCTAAAGGTGTGATCACTCCCTTTGACTAAGTGTAGATTTGATGCAGCTCAACATAGTCAGTGCTAAAAGGAAGGGCATTCTAACCCTGTAAGAGAGGTAGACTAGGGATAGCAGTAGTGCTGAGTGTGCAGGAGTTACAGGGTGTTCAGAGCAATAAACGTGTTCAGATTAAATAGCACAGGAGTCTGGTAAAAAATGGATCAGTGGTAAAAAAAAAATACAAGCATCGTCGATTAGACTGGGTAGCATGGTCTTCAAAAAAACCTCAAACTAAACTACCTCTTAAACAGGTTTATCAAAAAGTGAGAGAGTGATAGTAAGGGCGTTTTTTGCAGCACACAAACACCCTAATGTTTCTTACCTGTGAAAAAATTATCAATTGTATTTGCCTTTTACACTATAAAGGCAATATCAATTGTCTTCTTTTCCTATCTCACCCAACTAAACCAAGAACAAGAAACAAAAGACTAGATATGTTTTAGCTCAGGATGACAGAGGCAGAAGAAATCTGTTCCATTTTAGGCCTGGTCGAAGTTTTACAAATTTTCTATTAGAAAACCCACTGAACCTTTTGACACATACGCTGTTGGCTTTTGAGAACTTCTGCCTTCAATTTTTTTAAAATCTCAATTTAATTACAAATCATTATGTCCTTTTCGGTTTTAATCATATAAGTACCCCCAAGTTTTACTGTTGGTCTCCAGCTTCCTTAATTTTTTTAGATGAGGGTATATTTTATAGTTCCTCAGCTTAGATATATGTATATATACATACATTTTCCTATTTAGATAGAGCATTCACATCTACTTCCAGCATTATCACCAGAACAGTGTCTTTTGACCTGCAGTGATAAGTGTGAGATGAGAGGTTCAAATTGTCTAAGACAAGACCACTCTGAAGGTACTTTAGACATAACAAAGGATAATCTAGGGAAAAAGGATATGGAGAATGTTATCTTCTCACTTGATTCACTGTACGCATAATCACCTCTTGACCAGGTTTTGGCTGTGATAGTTTGAGATGTTACAGCTCAGTTTGCTTGCATTCTTCCATGAGAATTTGGTTCTGCATTGCCACGGCAGGAAGGTAATCATTGACTGGATCTTGAATGCTTGTAAGAATCTGACCTATCCCTCGGCTGATTCTCTGCCCATAAGACCCGCTGCTGTTTTTGGCTGAGATTGTCTGACCTCTGTAGACTTGAGCCTGATGCTCACATATACCAAACTTGCTTAGCAAGATAAACACATCTCTACGGAAAGCTTTGGTGAAAATAGCATAAAGAAAGGGATTGGCACAGGAATTGAGTGGGTAGAAAAGTACCAGCAAAATCTTGGAATTGGTGACAGTTATCAATGGTTTGTTCATAATGGCAGATAAAGCATGGAAAGAGATGGGAGCCATGCACAGAAAGTCTGTGAAAATTAGCACAGCCATCCTCTTGGCAATTTTGGTGTCTTTGTCCCCTGACTTGTACTGAGGGTTCCGCACAGTTACGTAGATTTTTATGTAGCAGGCGCAAATGATGACAAAAGCAATAATGTTACATATTAGAACGAACACGACGTAGGCTTCGGCCACTGGCGTTTCGGTGTCCATAGGCAGGCAGATGCTGACTTTGCTGTAGCTGCTGACACCAACCAGTGGCAAAAGGGCAAGCAGAATGCATGAGAGCCACCCTGCCAGCATGATCACCAAGGCGTGCCGGAGGCGAATCTTTCGATCTGGGCGCATGGCAAACGTGATGGCGTACCAGCGCTCCAGGGTGATCACAGTCAGCGTGTATACAGACAGTTCACTAGCAAAGACTGTGAAAAATCCAGCTGTGTTGCAACCAGGCCCAGTCTGCCACTCTATAGCATGGTTATAGTACTCTGACCTGGTGTAGAGATCCACTGAAGCAATCAGAAGGAGATATAACCCCATGCAAAAGTCAGCAAAGGCCAAGTTACACATCAAAAAGCGTGGCACGGTCAGTTTGTAATGGCTGGTGAGAAGGATGAACAGGACGAAAATGTTGCCTAGGATGGCAAGCAGGTTCACAAACCATACCACAATCCTCAGAAACTGATATCCCATTATATCCTCGCAGGGATTAAACTCATCAGGCTCTGGTGTGCATATTACATCTTCATTGCCTCCACAGACAGGATAGTCATAGTGACTGTCGAAGGTCTGGACATCTTCCATTTGAGGGTTCTTGAGCTCTTTGCCAAAGCCAAGATTTCCTTCTCCACGGTCTTCAAAAAAAATGTAATAATGGGGATTTTCATGAAAATTTGTGAACTTGGTGTTTGTGTCATAGGCAGGATCAGTGTAGTCCGTGTATTCTTCTCCATAATCTTTATAAAATGGACCTCTGAGAGCTTTGACTGATCTCTTACGAAAGCTGTGGCTGCCACTCTGGTTGCAAGTCAGGTACTCCAGGATCCTGAAAGAGTAGAGGGGGAAATCACCACTGGCATTTGCAGTCAGCAAGTCACCATGAATGAAAATGTAGCTATGAAAATGTGATTGGATAGATTTCTGTTAACAGAACATATAGTGTACAATAAGCTTGAGTGTTTCTGGGCTTCTTTTTGAACTATATTTTCACTTCCTCTGTTGCTATCAGCTATCCCCAGTAGTCATTTGACTTGTTCAGCACCCATAATCCCTCTTCCTTTTTGGGTTCTACATTCTTAGTAGGAAACAAGATTTTACCTACTGTTTATAACTCCTTAGATACTACACACAGTATGACTTTATTTTTCACTGTTTCTCACAAATCAATTTCTCCCAGAACTTACATCAGTTTAATTTCTGTTTTATGGGTTCCTTACAGACAACTAGCAGTGCAGTGATTTGGCATCCTGTGCCTCATGGTGTGATGCAGCTATATTTGTAGTAAAATTTTTTCGTACCTGTTACTACGAAAAAATTTGCAATTTGGCATCGCTTTTTTTTTAATCACTGTAATCCACTGTCACATAACCTTTTCCAGGTGTGTAGAGTTTGAGATGGCATACAATTCAGTCTGAGAAATTTTCATCCCTACTAATAGACATGCAAATATTTGCTCTTTTAGTCATTAGATTGAGCTGGGTTCCTTTTGGCACATTCTTCCTGTCCAGGTTTTAAATCTCTCTGCTTCTCCATTTTATCTCTGTACTTATTTTCATACTCCATTGTACTTGTGAATGTCATTGCTTCGTGAGTTTATTATAGAATAGTTCATATACATATTATAGCATATTCTTAACATACTATATATTCCAACCACAAATGTTGTAATACTGAAGATTGGACTGTCTTCTTGAATGAAGGGCTGGCCTGGATAAGATTTCTCTAAACTTTATTAAACTTTGGAGAATTTTACAATGGATGTGCATTCTGCAGTAAAATTCTGCTGATGATCACAGCCTCCTCCCTCCCACCTTCCCTTGCCACAGCAGATGAGTTGCTGTTTTGCATCAGAATAAAATCTATAAATTTATCTTTTTTCTTTCCAAAAGTTGTTTTCACCTGTTCTGGTGGGAGGCTGGAAATCCTGCCAGAATGGGATTTCAAATTCCAGACTCATTTATTCTGAGCTTTTGAGTTAGAAAACACAAAACTTGAAGCTATAACCCCTCCAACACTTCTTTTTCTAGGCCTTGCTACAGCACATTACCCTTTTCTCTTTTCTTTCCCTTTAATTCTGGGCTCAACAGAAGGACGAACTGCTGGAAAAGGTTTTACAGAAAATTGTTACTTCTGCCAGTTTGCAGTTATAATCTCTGTTTCAAAGAACTTCATCTATACCTAGAAGAAAAGATCACAAAAGTGCCAATAGATGTAATTTTTTATTAATAATAAAACATTGTCTTCACTTACATACCTAAAAAATGAATGGCAGTTAGTGAAACTCACCCACTTTTTTTTTTCCAGCTCTTGAAAGCACAGCAGTGACTTGGATATGATAGGTCAGCTCGCATTAGCTGAAGAAATATCTTGACAGCTGGTAATTTCTTTAAAGTCCATGTATTTTTTGCCATTAGTTCTTTTAGGCTTTCCAGTCCTTTGGCTGGAAGGTTAGTGACAGCTGTTCTGGAGATATCCCTAAGTAAAGGAAGAAAAAGACAAATGTCAGAATATTCAGTAACTGGATCAGAGTTTCTTCAGATTCTTACAGTACTTCAGGAGTTTCATAGAATTCTACGGCAAAAATCCAGTGGAGGTGGTGATTTCATATCACCTTGCTAAGTTCTGATATAATTCAAATTCAAGTGGGTTATTAATTTCTCTGTGATTTTCTCTGTAATTTTTTTAAAGCTCTTGTCCTTAATGTCTCATAGTGCAGAATATGGATTATAAAGAAATATCATGACTTTTAAAATTGCACCTTTAAAGCCAAGCAGATACAAATGCATATGCAAACACAAAGTTTTAAAAATTCTTTGAAGAAATCACATCTTCCATTGGAAGAGCTATTTTCCCTTAGACGTCTTTACACGCATTTGAACTTATTGGCACACTTCAATAGAAAGTGTTGCAATTACTAAAACAATCTTCTTTATATACTGAAATTAAAACTTTCTATCTTAGTCCATCCTCAAACTCTCAGAAAATTGAGTATTATGTTTTTTGCTGCCTTCTTGTCTGCTGAGGTGGACTCAGTACCAGAGATGTTGAACAGCTGATGGGCAAGGTGGCTTTCCTTTAGAACTGTCAGTTGAATGTCATCTGGTCCTGCTAGTCTCTTTGCTTTGTCCCAAAATCTCTTCTATTGACACTTGAAATCAAGATGTTCTCAGAGTTACACTCTGTTGTGAAGAAGAAAACTTGTAAAAAGTGTTCTAGTGTGGGAACATTGTTTAAGAGCTTCTGTCCGGAACACCCTAATAATAACTATTTCAACTTTTTTCTATGCATTGCTTCCCAAGAGTGCTGTTCTTACCCCTTTAGAAGCTGAGAGCAGGTAACAAGTTTTCATGCTAAAGGAAGAATGGAAAATGATTTGGTATCTGAATGTATAGGTCATTGCAGCAGGGCCCACACAGGCTAGGCTAGCACTGGTACTACTGAAATAATTACATACAAAACAGCAAGTGACTGCAGTTATGTCATCCTCATTAATATTTAATAATGTTGATAACTAAGATGTTTAAGCACAGCAATGCTTACATTGCATAGAAGAGTGTCTTGCTACTATTGCTAAGCTATAGCTGGCACACCTTGAGAGACACAAGAGAATGGGCAAGAGGTCTGATGGTAGCAAATGAGCCACCAACTAAAATGATATACCTGAGGAAAGTCAGCACGTAAAGGGCTTTTGTAAACATAAGTCCTGCCTTGCAAACTTCTCTGTGTTATGCTTAAGATCTGCTCAGTGTCCTGGACTTCTATGAGGACTTTGACAAATGCCCACAAAGCTGATCCCGAAATCGATCAGCCACACTCCTTGTGGGAGGCATCACAAATTCAGGATTAATGGCAAAGGCTAGCAAAATTCACTTCCAGCCTAGGTCCAGACGTTAGCTTTTAAGTAGTTGTGGTCTAGAGCTCGTTCAGGTACTGGAAGTGGTTTGTCCATGGTAGCCTAGAGCTCAACAGTGTGTGGCATAACAGCAACCAAAGTGCACTCAACCAATTTTAACATTTTGGCTTGTTAGCTGTTTAGTTTTGTCCTCACATGCTTTCTTGTAAATCTCATGTCATTTCTAGGCTGTTGCTTATCTTATATGAAATTTGCACAGTAGATTGAATGTTGAAGAGACATTGGTGAGCTTCAGATAAATGTGGAAATAAAATATAGCTTATGATTTCAGAGATGATGTTTTCTGAATCAACTGTATGTATTACAGAAGTGAGAAACAGATATTTAGCTGCTCAGGTTTTGGGTTTTTTTTTCCTGGGTTATTATTTTTTGGCCTGACTTTTATGGTCAGGGTTTCAGAACTAGATATAAGAGATAATAGCTTTTGTTAATAATCCTTCTAATTGCTGGGAACATGCAATTTGTAGTATGAAATAAAGGAATATCGATAATTTCAAAGACAGATAATTAAGAAAATGACATTGAGTGTATCATAGTACAACTGAGAATTTTTGCAGATTCTGAGTACTGCAATAGTTGGAAAAGCATAAAATATATAATAGATCAGCTTAGACTACAGGTATTATTTTACCTTGCTGGAAGATTTTTTAAATCTACAAATTTGCACTGTTTGATTAGCAGAATGCAGAGTGCTCCTGTTGCTTTAAGATTTGCTTGTACCCAGTGGCAGGAACAGAATAGAACCTCCTAAGGTAAGACCCATTTCCAGATTGGGAAATGATGCTTTAAAGAGCACTTCTTCTTTCTGAAGATAATTACCTACTCACATGTATCTTGTGTGACTGTAACATTTTGAGTTTGGACTGTGTGTTTTGCAAAAGCTAATTGAATAATGAGCCTGACTGTACTTTTGTTGTACTCTGTTGAACTTTTGCTCTAGGCAGCAGCTCTTATTGTAGTTAGTAAATCAGGTCCACTGAGTTGCTGAATCCTTGCCAAGATTTCATTTTTAGGTGAAGAGCAATGTACTGTCATTATATTGTTAAAATAGTTTTCTAAAGGGAGCAATCTATGTACACAACCACATACATCTGAGTGTACAGCAGTGACAGAGGAACCAGAGTTACTGGCATGTGTTTTCCTCTATTCAGTGATCACACTCCCTGCTTTCTCTGCTGTTGTAAACTGCAAATTTGAAAAAATTTACCTCACTTTTCAATACCTACTTAAATATAATATCTAATTAGGTGGTCTGAGAGCATGTCCAAACACACAACACACATATAACCAGGCAAAATTTGTAGTTAAATGATAATATCTAATTAGGTGGTCTGAGAGCGTGTCCAAACACACAACACACATATCACCAGGCACAATTTGTAGTTAAATCCTTTTGCTCTAGGCAGCAGCTCTTATTGTAGTTAGTAAATCAGGTCCACTGAGTTGCTGAATCCTTGCCAAGATTTCATTTTTAGGTGAAGAGCAATGTACTGTCATTATATTGTTAAAATAGTTTTCTAAAGGGAGCAATCTATGTACACAACCACATACATCTGAGTGTACAGCAGTGACAGAGGAACCAGAGTTACTGGCATGTGTTTTCCTCTATTCAGTGATCACACTCCCTGCTTTCTCTGCTGTTGTAAACTGCAAATTTGAAAAAATTTACCTCACTTTTCAATACCTACTTAAATATAATATCTAATTAGGTGGTCTGAGAGCATGTCCAAACACACAACACACATATAACCAGGCAAAATTTGTAGTTAAATGTTTCTCACTGGTTTCCTTTAAAGCCAAAATGGAAGATTACCACATTAGGATAGATCCAAGGTCTGTATCTCAGCCTTTAAATTGCTGGTGGTGCTGAAATCCTGATCAAAAAAAACCCAGCAAGTGATAGATCGGTGGGGACAGATGTTTCATCATCCATAAATTCTTATCTCATTTCAAGAGTTCATAAAGGGAAACTCCAGACAATGAGTTCTGCCAGCTTGGTAGGGAGGCAAGACAGAGTTTCTCTTTTGAGCTCCATAGATGTTCCTTTTTATTATTTATTTTTTCTTTATTTTTTTTCTTCTTACTGCTCCCACTGTAAGAAATTGCCCCAGAAAAAAAGCAGTATTCTTGCAATCGTTTTCCATAGAGGTAATTTTCAAGAGGAAACAGGTTTGTAAGTAGAACTTTATTTTTGAGAAATACCCAAAGTCCACAAATTCCCATGCCAGCTAGGAACAGCTAGGTGCTTGAACCAAAAATGACTTAACAAATTATTTATTATAATCAGCCAAGTTGTTTACACTGCCAAAGGTAATATGGAAGGGCTGTATTGGGTCAGACTTCTCAGACTGTTGTGAAAGTTAATAAATCTTTTGTCTCTCTGTAAATATCTCATTAATACTGTTCGTGATGGTACGGCTGGGGATGTACACAAAGGCACCAGTTACAGCCAAGAAGGGCAATGGCATCTTGACCTGTATCAAGAATAGTGTGGCCAGCAGGACTAGGGAAGTGATTGTCTCCCTGTACTCAGCATTGGTGAGGCCACACCGTGAGTACTGTGTTCAGTTTTGGGCCCCTCACTTAAAAAAGGACATTGAGTCACTGGAGCAAGTCCAGTGAAGGACAAAGAGGCTCACAAAAGGTCAGGAAAACATGTTATATGAGGAAGGGCTGAGGGAATTGGGTTTGTTTAGCCTTGAGAAGAGGCAGCTCAGGGGTGACCTCATTGCTTTCTACAACTACCTGAAAGGGGTTGTAGAGTGGTGTGGGATAGTCTCTTCTGCTGTGTCTTCAGTGAGAGGACTGGAGGGAATGGTCATAAACTGAGACAGGGGAGATTTGGATTAGACAACATGTTATATGAGGAAGGGCTGAGGGAATTGGGTTTGTTTAGCCTTGAGAAGAGGCAGCTCAGGGGTGACCTCATTGCTTTCTACAACTACCTGAAAGGGGTTGTAGAGTGGTGTGGGATAGTCTCTTCTGCTGTGTCTTCAGTGAGAGGACTGGAGGGAATGGTCATAAACTGAGACAGGGGAGATTTGGATTAGACATTAGAAAAAAAATTTTCACTGTTAGGGTGGTCAGGCACTGGAATGTCCAGGGAGAATAGATTGTCCAGGGAGGTGATGGAGTCACCATCCCTGGAAGTGTTTGAGAGCTGTCTGGATTTGGTGCTGGAAGATATGGTTTAGGGTTTAGGGGTTACAGTGGTGTGACAGTTTAATGGTTGGACCTGATGATCTTAAAGGTCTCTTCCAAACTTGATGATTCTATGATTCTAAGGCCTTTTCTGCTACTCACACCACAAGAATTTGGGAGAGGACACAGCCAGGAGAGCTGACCCCAACTGACCAGGGGATATCACAGACCTTATTACATCATGCTCAGCAATAAAAACTTGGTGGAAATTTGCTGGGACTGCTGTTGCTTGGGGACTGGCTGGGCATTGGTGGGCTGGTGGTGAGCAATGGTTTTTGTTGCATCTTTTGTTATTATAGCTAGCTGCTAGGACTCCTTCTGTGAACAATACACCATTACCCTGGTATGAATATGCTGTTTTCCTGAAGAGCAAAAAGTAAGACTTATTCTTACTTTTTAGACTGAGCACTGCCAGCACCATCTGGTTTTGCAGTGCAGGAGGAAATCCCCCTTTCAGTATTTCATTTCTCTTTGTGATCAGTTGTATACACTACATTACATACTAGATGATTTGAGTCAGAACATGATTCTTCTGGAAGTTCTTCTTTAAAGTTTTTAGTTTCATTCTATACTATGATTCCTCCAGACTGGAGGCCAAACTACATGAGAAAGAAGAAAAGACAGCACCAGAAGTAACTTCTCTGCCCTCTAAAATAATTTTCAAATCTCTGTTTCAATGTCATTTGCATGTGTTCTACCAGAGTCCTTAGTTTGTATTACAATTGTACTACAATTGTACAGTCATAAGACATTGTAGTACAGTATCTTTCAGAAGAAAAATCAGTACAAATAGTATATCTAATGTAAGATACATGCATTTCATAAATCACTTCCCAAAAACACAGCTTTTGTTGCTGGTATTATTTTTGTAAACATGCCATTCCCATCCCTGCTGCTTTGCTGCTAATGGTTGGAAATGAAGTGCAACCTAAAACAGGATTATTTTTAAAGCTTTCTCTACTTCATTGTCTCCTACTCACAGTAGAGTTGGTCCACTGTGCACTCCCAGAAATGCATCATCACTGATAACTTCCAAGTATTTGTTCTTGTGCAGATAGCTGCAGAAACAAACAAAACACAGTGATTTGGAAATAGTTATCCGTAGGTTACAGATTAAGATCTCCAGTTTACTTGCCTGAACAGATTTACAAAAGCAGTATGTATATGGGCCATCCTATCCCAACAACATGTTCAAGCATAATCAGTTATTTTATTTTCTGTGTACCCAAGAAACAAAATACAGGCTTGCCTTTTAAAAAGAAATTAAATTCCTCAACAAATAATTTATTTTGCTAATTTATTTTTTTTAAGCTTTGTTCCAAAATCTTATTCTATCTCTATCATACATATAACATCTTCAGGTAAAATATGTGTGAGGATGATGTGAAATTTCATCAGAATGAGGTATGGGGAATTACATGATGGAACACATCATGAACAAATGGGAAAATAATTTCCTTCCTATATCCAAAACTCAGCTCTGTACCAGCTACTAGGAAGAAAATTAACTCTATCCCAGCTGAAATGTCTTCTGCATGTTATTAACATGCTATTATGTTATTAGAAAATTAACTCTATCCCAGCCAAAACCAGGACACTCAGGCATCCTACTTTTCTGCCAGAGTCACAGTGGACTTACAGCCCTGAAGCATTTCAGGTATGGTTCATTACAGCCAAGACTTCATGGAGCAGAATGAGTGATCCCACTAGCACCCACTTCCTCAAGGTTTGGCACACTGACCCACTGCCTGTCACTGGGGAGCCTGATTTTGTCCTTTCTCCCTTCCAAACTTGATTAAAGTCCTACCAACAAGCCCTGCCAACTCCTGTGCTAGAATCCATTTTCCACTCTGAGAAACATGAACCCTATCCAGTCAGTGGACCAGGTGTTGTATAAATCATCCCAAAAAGCCCAAAATGTTTTCAATTACACCAGTCTCAGAGCCATGTGTTGATCTGATGGATCTGCCTGTTTATTTTGATATTATTCCTTGCTACTGGAAGGATCAAGAAAACAGTTGCTGTGAGCTGTGCCCATTGTGCCAGTTGGGGCAAATATACAGAGGTCAAACTTTTCCTCATTGCCAGTTCTATAACAAAACCCCCATTTGAAATAGTGGCTGTGGAGACAATTCATTTGACTCAGAAAATTGCAGGCTACTATCTTATCTTTGTGCTGGTGGAGTCCTTCAAATGGAGATAGCTGACCTGGGTTTTAGCTGTAAAAAAGCTGAAGTCAGAGCAGTTGTTTCTTGGTGTGGAAAAAATCAAGTACATATTCTAATCCTGTCCTGGTTGAAGTCATTGGCAAAATTTTCATAACATTCACTGGATATAATCTTGTATTGATCACCATAGTGAAAAATGAGAACTAAATGCACTTTGTCTGGGTTACACAACAGAAAGTCTTAGGGAGCCAAACCAGAGTAACACTTCTGGCATGTTATTCGCTGGACATTACCCATGCCTTAAGCCTTGTTTCTTACAGAGGAAAATATCTTACATCACTTTCTCAGCTATTTTTGTTTGAAATAAGCTTTCATTCTTTAGAAATATTACGACATCCTAGTATCACCTGATGTTTCTGTTTTCTGAGAACTGACTTTCATATTCTGTAATTGGCAACTTAGGCACTTTTGTTGTGAACAGTTGCTTTAGTGTGCAAATTTCCTCATGATTTTGTCTGCAAAATGAATACAAAAATTAAAACCATAGCTTGAGCTAAGAATTAATCCAAGATTTCAACATCTAGGTTATAGTTTTGAAGGACATTAAAACCTGCTTGACCTAATAAAACTCATCTGCTTTAGTAACTAGACACTATTATACAACCAGATAACTACTTGTCCAATTTTGAAATATTTTCCCCTGAGATTTTGACTATCATAGTGAGTAATAAACCTGAAATATAATAGTTTACATACATGATAAAAATCTTCAAAGTTACAAATAGAAACAGCTAGAGACTTTGGGAAGTTCATAACCATGTGTTACTAAGGAGGGGCTGCAGTTTTAGCTGCCAGTTTTCACATAGATGAGTCAGGCCCATCAGAATGTACAATTTCCTGATGCTAATTGATTTCAGTTGTTTCAAACCTTTTATTTTGATAGGTATCATTTTTAAATGGAAAGAATAAGACTTTGTTAAATATTAATTTGACAAAGAAAGCTTGTGTAGAGCCAGTACAGCTCCTTCTGAGAGTGCCTTTAGCCCTGTCATTACTGATAGTTAAATGATATGGAACATCATTTAAATACACTGCAGAAGAGAAGACCACAACAGTGGTATCCACGTGTCTAAACAAATGTTAGAAGTCTTAGAATCACATAGTTGATGTGTAATATCTAGCCTCAGTGGGGACACTAGAGTAATAGTAATTTTGGAGAATTGGTGAATGGCAATCAGATAGACATGAGTACAACAGTGCAAAGTATGCAGGAAATCTGGAGTAATAAATGCTGAATCTAGAGTAGGATATGCTGATGGTTTTATTATGCTGTAAGTAAATGAAGGCTTTTCCCCCTTTTTTTCAATCCAGAAAGATCAGTAAGCTAACTATACCAGTAACTAATACAGAGTCTCTATGGACTCAAGATCCAGGGGTAAGTGGGAAGGATATTGTGTTGTCTCAGCCCCAGCAGAAAACAATGTGACTGCAGTATGCTGAGCAGGACCTTCTGAGGGCATAAAACACCAACAGGACTTTTCAAGTGCTATGTAAAACAGGACAATGTCATGTCAGGGCATGACAGAGATACTGAATATTCAGACATTATCAATACATGCTTCAGAAAGCAACAGTTTAGAGAGCCTGCATGAGGAAAAACAACTTTTGATTTCATCTTGAGTGGCATGCACACACTGTTTCAAAATGTTAGTGCCCAAAGTCTGTTTTAGAACAGCAACCACCAGGTGTTGATAGTCAGCAACTCCCTAGGACCAAAAAAGCTGAAGAGGTAAACACAGCTATAGCTCCCAAGAAGGAGATAGACATACATATCAGGAAACTTCCTTAAAAATAAGAAAAACTATGGAAGTTACATTATTGAGAGCATTCTGGGAATTCCTTAGGGACACAATTTTGGAGATGCAGAGCAAACATGAAAAGCAAGAGCTGGCAAAAAAGAAACAAAATCCTGAATATTCAGAATATTCAAAGTCTTCAACTGAGGTGAAAAACTGGAAAATGCTGAAAGATCTGAAGATATTTTAACAAAATATTTTACCAAAAGTGTACTTTCTTCCAGGGGTGAAGGATATAAATGAAAAATGCTGACCAGCTGCTTCAACTAACATATAGTGCCGCATTTTTTAAATGTGACAGATTTCTACTTCTCTTCTTTCATAGTCTAGTGTCATTCATACCATCCCCTGTGTTGTATCTGGATACACCTTTTTCTTGGTGGCTTGGGTCTTTTTTTCAGTTGGATTATCTCACTGATAAGGTTTTACTGCAGTCCCACAACCAATTTTATCAGCACAGGAAGTGATGGAATAAGAATGAACAAAGAGATTAGGGGAAAAGGGAGGGTTTGCAAATTTTTTTTCCCCAAAGGATCCCTTAGTTAAGAAGCAAGTAAAATTACCAAAGTTCCTAGCTGGAACACCTCATTGGCTTATGGAATTATATATTGCCAGCTTGCTTGCTTTCAGCTTCTAGTTTTAAAGTAAGGCAGCAGAGCTTGAGCAACAAGGAGAAGATTAATATGCTGGCCACACGTTTAAGTATCACCCCAATAGTATTAAATGGGCTCTGGATGTGTGACATGTTACTGTATCTATGCATCCAGTTGGATTAGGAAATGAAGGTTAAGGAAAGGGGAACAGGCAAAAGAGATGCATTGGTAAGTATTAAGGATTCATCTCATGATTTTTCCACACCATTGTTTATCTTGCCTGAGCTGAGCCAAGCATTCTAAGTGAACCCTGAAAATGTATACCAAAGTAAATATATTCTTTTGGAGTTTGTTTTTGCAATTAGCTTTTGAGATTGCAGACTTTCCATTTCAGTAATTTAGACAGCTCTGCAGAAGCTCATCACAAATATATTTTTCCATTCACTGGAAATATGTTTTTAAAATTCTTCTTTCCTCACCAGTTTCCTTACAGAAATAAACATTGGTTAGTTCAGCAGTACTACTTTGCAGAAGTCTGCAGGAGTGATGCAGTTTATGGATCTTAATGATGGGTTAGAACGAGGGGTTCAAGTTTCAGATGAATGCTTTTCAGTAAGAGTATCAGGCAGCCCTTTATTCCTTCTTCCTTTCTTCCCTGCCTTTATAGAATTTATACAGCAATAGCGTGGTTTGCTATAAAATACAGATCCTTGTTGGATGAGATGATCAATTAGGTAGTGCCATTATTGAGTATGACACTGGAAATCATTTATGCATAGTTCCATGCCTATATCTGCATTGATTTTTTTGACCTCCTTGAATTACACGCACATTTTAATATTGCAAGAGTGGTATAAAAACACAGTGCATAGTAAAAGATAGCCTCCAAGATTCCCAGAATGTCATGTGAGTTATGAATGGAACATGGAGTCTTTGAATGATTTGTAAAAATTTATTATTGTTTTTGATAATTTCCTTTTTTTAATTTATTTTCCTCCTTGAGGTCATAGTTCAAAACACATTCAAATTTATTTCCCTCACCCTTTTTCTCTTAGTTTCTTTTTGCTCCTACTTCCATCAAGTCCAAAGGACCTTGGATCAAACCCAGAGAAAACCAGGTACTTTTTCACTGTACGGTGGTAGATAAACAGGAGTTCAAATTAGAAATGTCAGAATACAGAAAAAGAAATATTTGCCTTTTGCATTAACTTAATGCTGCTTCTAGAAACAACAAATCTCTGGGTGTGCACTTAGCAAAATTATACCTTATCATGACATATGGTAACAAAACTACTTCAGAAAATTAGTTTAGAAATTTCAATGTAGTTTATCCAATAGATAAAGGTTTTACCACTGATGTTCAGCTCCCTAGTTTGCCTTGTAAATCTGGAGTAGTGCTTTGCTCCAAGTAAAAGTCATATGATTTAATTAGGAGAAAAGTGTTTGTTGTAATAAACTATTTTTACTGCTGGTAGATAAAGCCATGAACATAAGCCTAGTTTTAGTTATTTTGTTGTTTTGTTGGTTGTTTTCATTTGAAAAAAATTGATTAACTAGTGCATCATAGCTAGTCTCTGGAAAGATTCACTTAGGGTAACAGAACTATAGAATATATCAGGTTGGAAGGAACCCATGGAGTCCAACTCCCTGCTCCTTGCAGGATGACTGAAAACTAAATCATAAGACTATGACCATCACCCAGATGCTCTTTGAAGTCTGAGAGTTTTGGTGCTGTTACCTGGGGAGTCTGTTCCAGTGACTGACCACCCTCTTGGTGAAGAACCTTCTTTGAACGTCCAACCTGAACTTCCCTGATGCAGGTTCATTCCATTTCCTTGGGTTCTATTGCTGGTCACCAGAAAGAGATTAGCATCTCTCCTTTCCACTGTTGCCCTCGAGGCAGTTACAGGCTGCCATGAGATCACCACTCAGCCTTCTTTTCTTCAGGCTGAACAGACCAAATGACCTAAGCTGCTTCTCACAAGTCCTGCCCTCGAGGCCTCTCACCATTTGGTTGCTCTCCTTTGGACACACTCATATGGTTTGATATCCTGCTCATATTGTGGTGCCCAAAACTGCGCACAGTACTCAAGGTGAGGCTGCACCAGCAGAGTAGAGTGGGACAGTCACCTCCCTCGACCAGCTGGAGATGCTGTTCCTGGTGCACCCCAGGATATGGTTGGCCCTTTTGGCTGCCAGGCCACACTGCTGACTTATATTCAACTTGTCATCAACCAGGACCCCCAGATCTCCCTCTGCAGGGCTGCTTGCCAGTCTCCTATTTCTCAATTTGTATGCATAACCAGGAGGATTTCCCCATCCCAGGTGGAGAATCCAGTAATCACTTGTTAAATTGCATATGGTTGGTATTTGCCCAACTCTCAAGTCTATCCAGACCACTCTGTAAAGCCCTCTGCTCTAGAGGACTTAAAGAATACTTAAATACGCTTAACGAATACTGATTACATATATTTTTCCTAAAAGTAAGCAAGCAGTTATCTACAGAAGCTAGTATGTATTGTCTGCTTCTCTACTTCCCAGTTCAACAAAGCAGATGTTTAAGACTCCACATCTTCTAAAAGTGTATTTTCCGTTGATTCTTTAATAATACTGAGAATTTCAGAGAGGCTGGATGCAATAGCATTTGCACCCTATCAGAGAAGCATAAAGAAAAATTGTTACAAAATAGCCTCCAACAGGTGTTTCATCAAAATGTAAAGAATGGAATAGCCGACACTGTTCATATATTTGCTAAGGCTTAGAAAGGTTTTAAGTATTGCAACATACAGCTTAGAGGGATTCAGTCAAGACACTGGATTCATCTTGCAATTTCTGTGGGCACTAGTACAAACACTATGTCATCATGAAAACTTCCTTTCTGGTGTGAAAGTTCAAAGTAACTGAATGAATGTCAGTAAAATAAGATCTATTCCAGATCTTTAGTTTAACTCAAACCTTTCAAACTTTAAGAAGTCTAGATAGCTGATAAGGCAGAAAAGGCAGTTTGGAAAGATTAAGATCGTGTAAAGAATGGTCTCACTGAATTCTTATAGAATTTAAACTCAATTTAAAATAAAGTTTTGAAAATAATCATATCTATCCTCACGCCTCTCTGGTTAATTTAAGAACTCATGATAAAGAAAATCTCTTCACTTGTGAGACTGCCAGCCAGACTCTGCAGTCAAGCCTCTGCAGGACCAGAGTAAGCTCTGCCAAAGGGAATGGAGCCTCTGGAATTGAGATTTATTCTGTGTTAATGACTAAGGCACGTGATTTTGGGTATGATGTAGAAAGGATATTTACTCACTAAGTATTCATTTTCCAGAAACTACAATAAGAAGATGGAAAGAGATCTGAAATGGTTTCTTCATGCTTTTGAGATGTGCATCACTCATGTCTAGTGCAAGTGACTGATTCCTCTGAATTGCTCCAGGCATCTTACACCACTCTCTTTTTTGCAGGTAAGAGATTTCTGTGAAAGAGCTGCTACACTTACTAAAATAAACACTCTTGTAAGAAAAACAGCATAATTATCTTCCAAATTGTCTTAGAAAAGTTACTGATCAAGTGAAATTTTATTGTAGCTTCAAATGAGAACAAAAATGCTGGAATTACTTGCCATGATTTTTTTTCTGAGCTATAAATACACATACCAAATGAAAGCACCTCAAAAGATATTAAGCAATGATATTTTTTATTGCTGGCTGAAATTAACATCTCTCTTTGCTCCTTAAATTAATTAGAATAAGACATGTATTTCAGAGCCTCAAATAAGCATATAGGGTTGGGTTTTTTTCTTCTGAAAGAAGAGAATGATTTGCTACTTACATAGCATCCAGATTTGTCCCATTAAAAGCATGGCCTTGAATACTGGTAAAACCATTATTGTAGAGTTTGCTGCAAGCAAAAAGGATAAATTAAATCAGTCTATTTTGGGTTGCTTCAATACCAGAATACCTAACATCTTACGTATCATTTTTCTTGGCAACAGCACATTTATGGATGGGTTAATTTTAATCTCTTGAAGAAGCAGTAGTTATACTGCAAGGTCAAACCGATACCCAGATACACGCTTGAATGTACCTGAATCAAGGATACCATGTGGCAGCTGGACCATCTTTTCCTCTTTTTACAGCAATGATAGAAAGAGACTAAAACACTTTTCTGTAATTTTCCCACCCTCAAACTAAAAACAAGGAAACAAAATCCTTCTAGGACTGATTAAGGAAGGCTAAAGGAACTAACACCTAGCAAAACAGGACTGTTTTTACTATCAGGCCTGCCTGAATTTTTAGAATTCATTCTTTTCCTCCAAAAAGGATCCAAAAGGATTTTTTTCAGAATGCATTTGTTTGCATTCTAGTGCTCTTCTCCCCAGTTCAGGTCATAACTCACTACATTCATTTTCACTCCTCTCAGCCCTTTCACGTGGCTCACGTTGAGTATGACTTGCATAACTGAACTTTATTTGACAATTTTCTTTCAAATATGACTTGTCTGATGTTTGCTAGTCATCAGTTTTCACAGTATGTGCCACTTACACTGCAAAAAAGTTAGACACAGTTCTAACCATGCAGTGCAGGGGGAAAACTTTGTAAACATTTTCCTTTGATTTTCTCCAGTATAACCATTCACTGACATTAGGGTCATGCAAAACCAAACCCATTTTATTCAAGCCAGTTTAAAGAAAACCAGCAGGACTGATTCAAATTGCTGTCAAAGTACAGGATTTATGCAAACTAGATGATGGATACTGTCTGTCTGTGATGTTTGTGTTACAAATTACTAGAGAGTAGATCAGGAAAAAATCATGGTTTTTAAAACATTTTACCATATGCATTACCAGAGAGCTAATTTCCTTATGGCTTAAACTGGAAGAACTTACAGGGTTAGAGATTCATTACAAAGCCCATGGAAAGCATTTGCAGGCACTGAAGTCACGTAAGGATTATCTGCAATTTCACTGGAAAAGGAGACAAAATATCACAATCAAATATCTGCCCAACAGAGCTCCTCCAGAACAGCTTTGTTATTAATTCTTCTCTGCCTTGATAAGAGGTAAGTTTAAACTAAAACCTCATTTGTTTAAATAAACAAATTGATTATAGGTATTTTATTATATTGTTAATAATAGTAAAATAAATAATGTTATATTTATTCTTTAGTATATTATACATTTAAATAACTTTATTTAAATAAAAGTTTATTTATTTTTAAAAAATTAATGATTAAAAGAATAAGCTGTTTAGTTATATCTGAGGCCAGAAGATGCATATGGGATGAAGAACTGAGCATGTTCCAGCACTCAGGAATAGAACTTGTGAGGTAGAAGGGTTTTGTAGTCCTGATGAGGTGTGTCAGCCTGTGCAATGAAGGAGGCTAATGGCATGGACAGGTCTCTGGTCTCATAAGCCAGAGAACTGGCAGAGTGAATAATGTTGCAGTGTCAATTGAACAACTCAAGTGACTTTAGAGATGAGATGCTACTCTCTAAGCTCAGAGAAGGCGTCAGATAATACATGATTCAGGGCTGAGGCACTGCACTTTACAGAACTGGATCTAGCACAAATGAAATAACTTACTGTGGGATCTAACCTAATCTAATCTACTCTTGTCCAAATGAGTGTTTCACTATTTGTCATTTCTTAAATCCTTTTTTACTCCTCCTGTGCAGTCTTAATAAATACTATGGATCTTCAGGCCCAAACTCTGTTGCAACAAAAAGGAGAAAGAAAAGCTATAGAGATTTACTATGACTAAACTGGAGAAAGGAGAGAGGAAAGGGCTGGTAGAAACACAGGCTCAAGCAAAGTCTCTTGTCGTCCTTTGATTTTTCCTGAATCATATTATAGTCTGGAAACCAAAATATTCCGCAAACTTTTCTTTTCTTCAGCTTGTGGACTAGATGTGGTCTAATAAGGCCAATCCCCAATGTCCACGGGCTGAGAAGCCCTAACAGCTGCCCATGTACCAGAAACAACTTCATTCCTTTTCTGTGCTATATATGTGCATACACACGTGCTAACACTGAACAGTATTATAACCATTTTCATTCCAAGTAACTTCCACTGATAGGTGGTTTCCACCCCAAGTTATTTTGGTTTGACATTTTTCAGATCAGTTCACTTTTCTAAACAAATGTTTACATGTAAGTGGTTCAACCTCAAAGCCAAACAGTGATATAACGAATGCTTTATTTCCCCAGCTATACCTTATTCATCATTTAGAAACCTACTATTCTTCAAGAGCAGATTTTTTTTTCTTGATGAAGTAAACAAAAAGGCTATCTTTCTTTGAATAGCAATGCTCAGAAATATAAATCATAGAAATACCTCTCTTGAAAGTGCAGGTCTACTCTTTCAAAAGTCTGCAGCATGTAAGACCTTTGTTTATCGTTTTTTAGAGATCTCTACCAAAAAATATTCAAGGTAGAAGTAAAATAATGTTTGCTTTCTGCCACTTAGAAAGGCACTGATTTGGCTGGATGTAAGAACACAGATTGTTGTATGAACTGCTTCTGTTTCATCTAGCTTATTTAATTCTTGGTTCTCTCTACTTAGTAAGTATAGTATCTAATTTACAATCTAACAGAGCTTTATCTAGGCTAAAGCCCTTTAGGTCTTTGAGAAACTCCCTAATAGCTCTTAAGATGTAGGTGTATCTCACTCAGAGCTCTGACTGAGACAGGTTTCAATCTTGGAGGTATACAGCGAAGGCAAATGGGTTTTTTTAGCACTGTCAGTCAACACTGAGCTTTTAAAGTTGCAACAACAAACAATTGCTTTCAAGATTGTCCAGTTCTCCTGCTCTTGAGCCTTCTGTGCTCAGGGTAGGCTCAGAAGAAGGCAGATAGCCAATGGAGGTTATGATTGAGCAGCATATGAGGTTGGTCAAGAGCAGTATCAGAAAATGTGCAATATGAGCTCATCATGCCAACACAAATTTGTTAGAAAAATGTTGATAGGATGACTTTATGTTAGCAGAGTGTGTGCCAGCTCAGGTTCTGTGTGTCACACAGAATTAATTCAGGTACTGCACAGCCATTACAAAACCAAAACCTAAATAAAAGCAAAGGGCCTGTAGAAGCTGTGCACTATCAATGCACTTGTGTGTCCATGTCTCTAATCCCAGTCAAATGTATAGTGCTAGGTGATGTGCCATTTTCCAGGGTTGGTACAAATGATCTTTGAAATATAGCTTTAAGAAAACTTCGTTAGACTTATTTGATAGTTTTCTCAAAACCAGACACCTTCATTATAGGTTTTCCTGGGATCTGAGTGTGGCAATATTTTAACCATCTGTGAAGACAGATACTTACAGTAGAAAATTCACATCAAATGAGTAGATTTTGTTGAGGTCTGGAAATGTTTTGAGTCCAGTATTAAAAATACCACTGAAAGAGAGGAGAAACATACAGAATTACATGTACTGGATCACTGAACAGCAACAAACGATGTATTTAAAGGGTTCCACAGGGCAGGAGGGTTATTTCATCCTCTCTATTGTCAATCAATTAATTTATAATCAATTGTCCAAAATAGAAAGATCCAAGGACAATTCAAAAAAATCAAAATACTAGATTTATGGTAAATTATAGAATCTAAAAGAACACATAATAAGACAGGTAAGCAGATCTGCAGAAGAAAGAAGCTTGTGAGGTCAATAGAGAGAAAATAATTATAACCCTAGTTTCACTTGAGATATTAAGGCTTCTTCAGTTAATAGTCTAGACCCCCAAATGCTCCATCTTTCATTGAGGCTAAGAGTTGATCATATAGTTCTAAAAAAGGAAACTGTCTTAAAATGTGAATATGCTTAATGCTCCTTCTTTCTGAACTTCCGTAGAGTGGAAGTAACTTAAGAAAATACAGTTCCCAATTTTTACAACGATTCTCCTGAAATGAAATTTTTTTACAATTTTCTTTCTTACTGCTTTCACATCTATAGGAGAAACCTGGAAAAAACTTTCCTCCTTGCCACTGTCCACATCCTCAGTCCTTCTCCCCAGCCTCCTCCCCTCGAGTCCTTTCTAGTGTCTTACAAACATTACTCAAAATCACAGAAGTTTCTTTAGAAATTCATGGGAATTCTTCAGGATTTCTTCCTATCATAGAAGTCATATGAAATCAGGTGTCTCTAGGTGGGCTTTTCACATTTGGCTGACAGGTATGCTTTATACCCTTGTGTAAATATCCAGTCAATATAAAACATGTGTGTATATCTCTTGTGTCCCTTCTTCCCACTACTCCCTACAAAACTATAGTAAGACAACACTTATTATAAGGAGAAGGCTAGCTGTGGAATTCAGCCAAGGAAACATTAGTGTATTCTAGATATTTAATGGCTAAGACAAATGGGAAAATTACTGACGATTTTGTGAACATGTTTTCCTTCCTCACAAAAGTAGTAAAAGTTTCAACCCTTACCTTAGCTGTCATTAAAATAAAGCAACAGGGAGAAGCATAGCAATCAGTTCCAAAATGAAGTGCATAAAAACAAAACTGCTATAATGTAAAGAGTCATTTGTGAGATTTGCATGCCAACTTGTTAAAGGTGCTAAATACTTACAGGTATTTCAGAAGTGGGAGGTTCTTAAAGGCATCTGGATCTATGTAATCTAAGTTTCTAAGATTTCGAATTTCACTGTGAAAAAAGGGAGGAACATTGATTATTATGATTATTTAATTACTTTTTGCAACAGAAACCAGCAATGTTAAAATGAAATTTCAGGGACCTAATTCCTGCAATGAGCTTTCTGTTCTGGCCAGCACTAGCACAAGGTCACTATGCATTCTGAGCAATCTTACAATGATGCATTAATATCTGGATAGATGCCATCCCAGAGACTGGCTAGTTGAAACAAGGGGGCAAGAACCACCTGAGTTTTGATTATGGATGGTCCCTTAATGCAATTTCCCTCAATGTTTCTCATTCCTCTTTTTTTTCCAGTAGGTTTCTTTCTTTTCTATCCATAACAGCAGTCAGCAGTCTGGCTGTATCAATCAGACTGTGTCAAAATTCCTTGTCTAGACTCAATAGACCTACCAAATTTTCATCTTTTAGTAAGTTGCCCATACCCTCTGCCATCACATGCAGACTTTTCATTTCCTGGTCTCTTTACTGTCTCCAGAAGGGTATGGACATTTTTGTTATGTTTGCTTCTACTTCTTTACTTTAAACAAGCTTGGACACTGATGGAACAACTCTCAGCCTTTCTTAATATAGAAACTATGCAGAGAAAATGGTGCTAGTTTTCATCCTGATACTAGCAGTGGAACAGTGGACTGAAGGAAGCACTTCTGGGTACTAATATAGAGAAATTTGATGAAGATCCCAAGTATAAATGGCATGGTAGTGCAGGTTAGGTGGGCAATGTTTAGGTCTTAAGTCAGTCCAAGAAGTGGTGATACTGGGCAGAGGCTCAATAGGCAGAAACCAATAGTATGGAATTTAACATGGCCTAACAGTGCCAAGTAACCAATACAAGTATCAGAAAATTGGGTTTTAAGGATACCTCTGCCACTGGAATAAATTTTACAGGATGAAATCAACCCAGATTTGGGTTTTCCCAAATGTGGGAAAAGAGACAGGAGACAGTAGATAAATCACTAAGTAGATACCGGTTCAAAGACTTTGTGCTGGTTTCAGCTGGGATGGAATTAATTTCTTTTTTTCCCCCCTCTCAGTAGCTAGTGTAGGGCAGTGTTTGGATTCAGAGTGATAATACTGTTGATAGTACAGTGATGTTTTGGTTGTGCTGCTACGTTGTGTTTATCCTAAATCAAGCTCTGCCAGTGAGAAGGTACACAAGAAAACTGGGAGGGAGCATGGCCAGGACAGGTGACCTGAACTAGCCAAAGGGATATATAAGCAGGAAGGGCCGATCCGGGGGGAGGTTCGGGGTTGCGCCAGTCCGTGGGTGATGAGCAATTGTATTGTGCATCACTGATTTTGTTTTGTTGGGTTTTTTTTTCACTTTCTTTTTATTAGCATAGCATTTTAGCTCATTCTGCTCTTTATTATTAAACTGTTCTTATCTCAACTTACTTTTTTTTTTCTCCGCCCCATTCCTCCGGGTTGGCAGGGGAAAGGGGGTAAGAGGGAGTGTGAGCAGCTGCGTGGTTCTTGGCTGCTGGCTGGGGTTAAACCACTTAAAGACTTCAACCTCTCTATATGCTGTTGTACTGACAAAACAGTTCTACTCCACCTTTCAAGTCTTCAGTTTTCACCCTGTATACTACAGCACTGCAGGGAAACAAGGATTTACCTTTTATTTGCATATTAAACTGATGTCATTAATACCTATAGTACTAGTACTATGGTGCTATATTCAAATACTCTTCATGTCTGTTAGGTACTTTGAACAGTAGTGCTTCTGTATTTAAAAGAAATAGTCTCAGTGTCAATTTCTTGCTTCTCTCAAATTATTTTATTAGTTATGTAGCTATCGCACTCCCAACAGTGGAATTTGCTCCATAAACTTTAACTGATACATTTTTTTCCATCCCTGACTGCCTTCAGAATTTTGGACTCATGAGCTTCCTGGCCTGATACTCCTCTGTTGTAGACCAAATATATTCCAGGGAAATACAGTCTTCAGATCTATGCCTATCTTCAGGTACTATGGTGTTCCATAGTCTCATCAGGTTTTGGCTTGTTGCTATTCATAGTATTCTGCTTAATTTATTTGGATGAGAGTGCTGGAAGTAAGAATTTGAAATCTGCAGATGGCACTAAAATTGAAAGAACAAAATAATGTAATTACATACAATTTTGATTTATTAAGTAACTGGGCCAGGAGAGGACATGTCCTGTTTAACAAAGGCAAATGGAAAGCTAATTAATCTGGGAATAAAAAATTTTAAACTGCCAGATGAGACACGGCACAGTAATTAGAGAAAATCTTAAGCAATTTGAGTGAGGGAATCAATATGATTCAACTGCACATTGGGGAATGATTTGATTTTCTTGAATTGGTAATGCTGGGATTAGGAAAGAAGTATGCCTCAATATATACTGTATTCATACTTGCATTTCATTCTATGCTTTGTATTACAGAGGTGTCTTAAAGTCCAAAAGGAAGAAAAGGGCCCATTGTGGAGCAGCCAGTTGCTTAGAAGTCTCTAGTCAAAACAGATGAGAGAGAGGATGACAGAGGCATAAAAAGGTAAAAGGTGATTTGACAGAAATGAATGTTATGCTTAAGAAAATGCATGATGAGAAAAATCCAATTTTCACAACTTCTAGTCCAGTCTATGTGCCTCTTGCATTAAGGCCTGAATATGTGGCCTTTTATTATATCTGCAGGAAAAAGAGAAAGATGTTCACATTCAGTTCCATCTATGAACTGTGCTGCTATCCATATTATTTCATCAGCATGTACCTGTCAAGCCTTTGCACCACTAGCACCAGAAAACTGGCTTAGGCTCCCAGGAGTCTATGCCCTACCTTCAGATTGTAAATTTCAACAAAAGTTTTATGCACAGCACTCGTACCATGCCCCGAAATTCCCTGCAGGTATACAACATTCCCCAACCCTTGTCTCCCCCCAGTCTCTTCAGTCTTCCTCTCCAGCTGCTTCTCATATATCCATCAAATCACCTCTCCTTTCTGCAGCGCCGTATCCCATGGCCTGACATCATGAGCTGTCCAAGAGAAATGTAGGCATGGCCCAGAGGATGGTGGGGCTGTCCTTGGCTCCGTCTCATTGCTGCTCCCTGCAGAGATGGAGAGCAGTCCCCCACCAGCTCTCCAAATGACATCACATATATGAGGGCAAGCTACTTGAACCATAACCTTTGGCCCAGTTCCCAGATGTTGAGAGGGCTTGTTATGTTGTTGTGTAAGAGGAGAATGCTTTTTGAGAGAGGAGGGAGTAGGGACAGATCAGAGGGGAGTGAGCAGAGACACAGAAGGGACGAAAAGAACGAGTGAATTTTTCTGCGGTTCTTTTCACAGGAATGTTTCCCTGAGAAACAAAGATCTAATTACAAAAGGTTTTTATTTAGTGTAATGCTACCAAGCTGCAGCTCTGCTAGTAAGGCAACTACACAGAGACATTGACTGCTAATCAGACACTTTCACAATTACATCTAGGAAAACATAAATTCTTATGTTATCGTATAGGAGAGACAGTTCTGAATTTGGAAGCAGATTTAGTTAGTCTCACAGACATACTTTAAAAAGGTAAATACAAAAAGAAGAAACAAGAAACCATTATGAGACCAATTTAACACAACTGGGGGGAAAAAAACCTCAGCAAAGCCTTGTGCCTTATTTACATCTTCATAGAGTGGGAATTTTGATATTAATTACAACCAAAATGAGATCTGGCTCATTAAAATATAGCAGGTGATCAGTATCCTCAGTTTGCAGAAGTTGTCAGTAATTGAAAGGCATAAGTTCATATAAATATAGTTTGTGTTTAAAGAGAACTGAGGTCTGGAAGGAACAGAAAGTCAGGACAGAAGCACATGAACTGAATACGGATCAAGAAAATGAATTGCTGAGCATCAAGGCCGAAACACACTAACAGGCTTAGCAGACAGGGATGATGATGGACACAGGATGTCTATTCACTAACACATGACTCAAGCCGAAGCAATTAGTTCTTCCTTTCCACAAACATTAAATTTTCTCCTAAAAAGTTCTTATGTTTAAAAACAAATGTTTTTAAAATGAAATCGTGTATAAATTTAAATTAGGGTAAAATATTATTTACATAAAGCTTCACTTTATGAAAGTTCAATTTAAAAAAGCTATAAAAATGAAAGACTTGTTTTCAAATCTGTTCGAGTAACCTCAGCCTCCTTTAAAATACCTTGTGCTGATCTCAACCCAGTATTATTTTAGCAATAATGCTTCGGAAATACTATGTAAATGGAGAACACTAAACAAATGCATAGCACAACATACACATTTATCTCTGTATAATCCTGCTGTTTGGAAAGTAGATCCAACCCAACAATGGTAAGTGTTAATAAATCAGGAGTTATTGGAAGTAACTCATAAAAATGATCAAATTTATAAATTGCTTATGTGCAACTGTCTAGCTTGCCAGATGCCTGGATAGTCCCTGAGTAAATCATACATGTGCCTTACTTCGAAACAGATTAAAAAAACCTAGTAAGTGCTTTTGAGTGGTAGAAGTGGTCCTTTTCTGTGGGCTCTCTGCAAAGGCTTGGGATTTGCCTACAGCTTTTGTAAGTAGAGTTCTAGTGTCTTCTAGTATTTTGGGCTGTTGTGCAAAAAAACCCCAAACAAACAAAACGAAACAAACCACAAAAAACAAACTTGTTTGTCTGTGTACAGTTTCATTTTTGGTAGTGCCTTGTGAGAAATATAAGGGGTCCCACATTACCACACCTCTTTTATAGCAGATCAGGAAACATTTCCACTATGCCCTCTAAGCAGGCTGTGCAATAGGTGACATGAGTGTAGGTGCCCATGAACTCTGCTGACTCCTGCCCAGGCCTGCAGCTTCCTGGTCATGGACAGCACATCCAGGTCTGGAGTCTGGCACGGGGGTGATAATGCAGTGATTTGTACCATTCTGGAGTGCTCTCCCTTCATGGGAGCCATGAGAGGGGCATGCTTATGGCAAGGGGCACTGGCTATCATCCCAGGCAAGAGTCTAAACATCCTTTGGGGATGGTTAGAGAATGGAAGAGCACAAGAGAAAAGGCTTCTACTCATATTCCTCACCACTCTTTAGGTAGTAGAAAGTAGGCAGCGTCACAGGACTGAGTGCCAGAGCTGCATCCACCACTCCTTCAAACTGGTCACACATTAAAAAAGTGTGAGTTTTGTGGCAAAGTTCTTTATATTCAAAGGCTTACATTGTATCAGTCTTTGAAGGAAATCAGTTTTGTGTTATGAATTCAGATTCTAAGGGAGATTTTTTTAGTTCAGTCTTCACTTTGAATCTAATACAGAAACAATAGAAAACAGCTATCTAGCTAGCTATCTCCTTTTTCCTCAAGCTATCCTCAAGAAGCCATTATATCCATAAAATATAAAACAGACAAGCTACTACACTGCATATGGCATGGAAAAATCCTGCAATGAAATGAAATGGCCCAAGAGCATTTTATCTCTAACTTCTAATAAGGTGGACCACAAAAGAAGTACCACAGGAGGAATTTGTAGTACATAGTGGCAAATGCTTTAGTCACTGCTGATTAAATTCGTGGCTGGTGTTTCATTAGATGTTCATTTGTGTTACAAGAAATCCCAAAGACACAACAGCTGTGAAACAGGAAGAGAAAACATGAAGATGATGGGCCTGGAAGAACCATCTACAGAAAAGGGAATGGTACTATATGCAAAGATAAGTACTGATATCATACCAAAGCTTTCCTGTGAAACTCTTTAAGGAATAGTACTGGAGCATGTCATTGGACTGAACTAGGCCTGGGGATCCTGCACTCTACTTCTAGCTCTGCCTGTCAGGTCCTTTTAGGGGAGTCACTTGCACTTTCCATCATTAGTTTCTCTCTATCTGCAGTAACAGTGATGATATTTTCTTGTTTAACTTTATTAGTCTTTCTGTTTCACACTGTGTAAAGCAAAAGGGAAAAAACCATCATAGAAAATAGAGCAGTGTTAAGCAATCAGCTAATTCAATCTCTTTGAGTGATGATTAAATAGATCTATGGAGTTTCTGATCACATAGCCTTAAAAGCCTGCAGTGACAGGGATGATGTCTCCAGGAAAACAATTCTAGTGTTTACTTATGTCATCTACACAAAAACATTTCTGAAAGTCTAACAGGAATCTCATCAAATCTAATTTAACATTATTATTACTTTTGCTTTGTCAAACATCAGCGCAGAAATGAGTTGTAGCTTTCACCTCTTGCAAAAACCTTAAAAGATGTATCTGCCTCTGTCATATTTTCTTTCTGGACACAAAAGTCTTTCCTCTCTGACAAAGTTTTCTGGATCCGTGATAACCCAACAGTGCTCTCCCATGAAACCTCTGCAAACAAAAATCTTCTCTGAAATATGCCAAACTGTAGCTCATCTCTGCTTTACCATACTGACACACTTTCCATTCCTCATTTGGATCAGTCATGGAAACATGGAAGTGTATCAGATGCAAGATGGATCCTGTGAAGCTCTCTGTTAAATACATTACCTCATTTTGACAGGGTCCTGATGAACGACAGGAACTCTCTGGATGTAGGTATCCTACCACTTCTGTAACTGCCCTAGTGCATCATTTGGTGAGGACTGGTCAGAACATCAGAACAAAAAGGTATAAAAACACCTCCCAGAAGCCTTTTACCATATTATTCCCATTCCATTTAATAGCTATATAAACACTCTTCATTTTACTTCTGTACTTTCAGAATGATTACTTATTACTCTTCATGTCTCCAGCTAGTGCCATTTTGCTCTGTGCTTTGCCCCTTCTGATTTAATTTCTGGTGCTTATATTACTGTTTTACACTTACCTGCAGTAATTTCACAGAGGTAATATTTAATTGCCATTTTTTTCAACTTGCCATCAAGGTCATGATGGAGTCACACATATTTTTCATTAAATTTACTTACATTTCTATGGGAGGATACAGAAGAGCAAGGGAACCAAAAAGATGTAAGGAAAAAAGCACAATAAAGTCTCTTAAGAAAGAGACTGACTCCACATTATGGAGAAAGGAAATGAGAAAAGGAATATTTAGCCACAAAGGAGAGAGGAATGACAACTCAAACATCATCATGTATGTTATTTCCACACATCACCAAATTTATTTCATCACTGTATTCATTTATTTAATTACAGTACTTACATGTGAGTGACTTTACTTAAACTGTTGAAGGAATGGGCCTCCAGACTCTGAAGGGTTTCATCTATAGAGATGTAGCTAAACACCAGCAAACAGAAAAATAAACAGGTCTCAGACATTGGGAAGCCATGGCTAGTGTCCATCATGCCACCTCATTTTTCCTCTCATTATTTTTCTCATCCAGCTGCCATGACACTGCCAGACACATGGACAGTGTCTGACAGACACACTTTTCAAATCCTTTTAAGGATTTTGATTTTGACTGATGCTCTAGATGCACACAATACTGCAGAATACAATAAAAGCAAACAAAACCTCAGGTAAATCGGTATATTTCTCTATATCAAAGAATTAAAACTGGAAGGAAGGAAACAAAGATGATCCTTGGACCATCACTGCAACAACTGTTGCAAGTTCTCTAGGGAGAGACAGGTATCTACAAAATCTCTCCACCATTGTTGGGAGAATGATAATACTGGAGCTACTGTCAGAGGCTTTAAAGTTTGCATAAAGTTGCAATAGAACTAACTAGAACTGATTTTCAGCATAGCTGACTTATTACTGTTTGGGTAAAATTATGCTACTCTGTCTTTCAAAATATCTCTTAGCTTTGAAATTTATTAATGCTGGAATAGCATTTAAGTGACCTATTACTGCATTTTATTCAGTCTTCCAATAATATTTTATAACATATTTCTAAAATGTAGATTTTTTTTAAAAAAATTGAAATTCCTTGTATAGTCTTTATTATTATGGTTAAAATATTTATGTATCACCTTTTGATACTCTTGATCAAAGTTGACTGACTCTGCTTTTAATATTTTGCATGGTTACACACACCCTGAGCAACTTGATCATTATTTCAAATGCAAAAAAGTAATTTGACTAGATGAGTCAGACATCAATCTTAGATGTCAAATTAAAAAAAAAAAGATTGTTATATGTCTTTCCTCCTTCTTAATCACTAGACTTACCAAGACCTATGATTATATGCAACTTGGAAAATATCCAACTGGTATTTTGCATCAATTCTAAATGGCTTGTGTTCCTTAAACAAAATGGAAAAGATTTTTAACATCCATTTTTTCCAATGACAGTATAAAGAGTAATAATAGTAAATAGCAAATTAGAATACAGTCATTTAACACAGGAAGGCTTTTAAATATAATTAACTATGGATCAGATTTCTGTTTTTGGTGCCCATTTTAAGGAAGAAAAATCTTTATTTCATTCAATGGATGTTTAAAAATATGTAAAATGCTTCAAAAAATTGGAAAGAATACTTTGTGATCAGCACATGCTTTAACAACCAGCAGATGACTAATAGCACTAACTGGGTGAGAATTTATGTCCTCTGCAGACTGGAGCTAAAAGCATATTCCCTGGATTAATTTTAGCTCTTTGACCATGAGATTTATTTTGTATTGGTCACTTCGGAGATGTATTCCACAGGCTTTGAAAAGATACCAGTACAATAACAAGTAGAGATTGCATGAATATCAGGTTCTTTTTCTACAGTAATATTGCTTTGCCAAAGTTATTTGCCTCTTCCAAAAAAAAGGAAGATAATAAAAGAGGAATACAAAAAAGAAAGTATTTCCAGTCTGCACCTCTGTGATTGAGTGTTGCAGAGTCAGATGTTTATGTGAGATGCTTTTTTTTTTCCTGTAAGGAATAATGTCTGTTGCCCAGGAAATTGGAGTTTCAGTCTTAAAAGAAAATTAATTCTTCCATTTTAACAGACACTAAATTTTAATATACCAAAAGATAAGTTATAGCAATGGCATATATAAAAAAAAGTTGTTCTATGTAGCAAGAAGGTATATATAAAACAGTTTGACAGAAAATGAAATTAAAACCAGCTAAGGAACAAAGATTGCATCCTCATGCTAGAAAGTAGGAGAGTACTTTTTGTGTGCTCCATGATCAAAGTGGGTCACCTTATATCAGGCAGGCAGGTGCTTTTCTCTTGCATATGAGAAGAGGCCAAAGATCCCCAGAGAAGAGGATTCCTCCTCCCCTTCCTTGCCCCTGCCTCCATCTTGTGCCTTTCCACCATGCTTTATGTCTCATGTTTACTATATACTGTATACCACCTGGATTGGACCTGATTGAGGTATATCTTTCAACTGTGGGACACAATAGGAAGGAAGTGGCTTATTTTCTTTGCATTTTGACCTCCGCTCTTCTCCTTCATAAGCATATGCATTTGTGTAAATTAATTAAACCTCACCATCATTGATGACAGGGAAATGAGTTGTTTTATTTGCTTTAGTGTCATCTAGATAAACACTCAAAACCCACAGACACACACTCAAAATCTCCTCCAAGACAGGAAAGTCAAATGGAAACACGTATTAATGTTACATAAACATTTACTTCCAAGTGTTCAGAGTGCCTCCAAAAACCTTTGGGCTCTGCCTAATGAACACATAATACAACACATTAAATGTAAGAAATAAAAATCATAGCAATCAGAACTGGAAGCAGTTGCATCAGAAGATGATGGAAAGCATGTTTAAATTCCCACTTTGAAGGCACGTTACAACTCGGCACTTCCTCTCCCTACCGGCCGTGTTTAATTTGCAGGATCTCAAAATGCCTTCAACAGCCATTGCAAATGCAGTGATAGCTTAAACACCAAATGCAGAGTTTCAGAGAAAGTCTGTTTGTACATAAGACTTGAAACACCATTGCCCATTCAGAAAGAACCTGGGAGCACAGGATTTAAATCAGATCAACCCATGACAGCAGCCACTAGGCCCTCTCCCAAACCCTATTTTCTTCCTTCTCCCTCTCTCCACCTTTCTTCGCTTTTTTCCAGCCTCAGGATCTCCTGTGCTGCTGCCCACCCACTGCTGCTGATAGAGGGCAGCTTGGTGACATGTGGGGTATTTCAGGAGAGGACAATCAGGAGCAGCTAAGGCAATGGAAGCCCCGAGCTGATGCTATACTGTATGGTGTGGCACTGGGGAGCACGGGAGATGTGGGAGCAGTGTGGTGCAGATACATGTTAGGTGTGAGGGGCTGTGTGGTGGTACTGGCTGTGGGACAGCAGTGTGTGTAGTGTGAAAAGACCCTGTGTTGTACAGGAAAATGGTGCACATGGGAAATGTGCTTTGAATGGTGTTGCTGGCACAGAGCACTGTGATGCTGGGATGCTACTTTGTGTGGAGAAGCTGTGGAGAAAACACTTCAAGGAGCTACAGGTCAGTTGTCTGTGAGGTACTCATGAATGTGACCCCAAAGCACCATCCTAAACACAGGAAAAAATGTTCCGTATCCTTGACTTTAAAAATAATGAACGTTCAACATGTCCCTAAGTCAGTAGGAAATACCAGGTGAAGTCCTTCTACCAAGATTTAATGCTTTTGCCTCTTTGAGAATGTAAACCAGATATTTTTCTTGTGTTTGAATATCCTATAAAGCCTTAATGTATTCAGTGATGCATTTCTGACAGGAATTAGCTTTGCATTTGAGCATGTAATTAAAATTCTTCTTTCATTTCTGTGGAAAAGCAGCACAGGGAAACAATCTCTACTGCTGGCTATCAAAGGTACACAGATATGAATTCATTAAAGAGGCATCTTAGGTCTAAAATTTTTGTTTAAACAAGGTTCATAAAGAGCACCACTAAATTTTCTATGCAGTGGAGAGGAAAAAGAAAGGTTTATTTGTGCAAATCATATAGTAGAAACCGTATAGCACAATGAAGTGCTGTACTTGAGACAGTAAACAGTTTCTATCACCCTATTGAAACTTTAGAACATTTTCTAGATGAGTTTATAGAACAAGTAATGATCTGTTAATTTTCATTGCTGATGGAAATTATGGGCTGGGAGAGGAAAATGAGACATGTGGTACATTAGGGGCCAAAACATACACACAAATTTTGTAGCTTAAAACACAGGTACTGGTTGTAAGTGGTGAGGGAGCAAAGGTGAAGAATATTTTCATTTCACATTTTTTTATACACAAAGACAAAATTTTGCGAGCAAAGGTGAAGAATATTTTCATTTCGCATTTTTTTATACACAAAGACAGAATTTTGGAGAAGGATAGTAATTTTTAATAAAATAGCTAAAAGAATAATATTAGAAACAGAACAGAACTTACATCCTAGAGATGTTGGGGAGATTGGAAAAAGCATCACTTGGAATTGTTCTTAGATGAGTCTCCATAAACCTCCTTGAGAAATAAAAATTTGGCAGTTAATATCCTTTGGTAAGTACAATTTAACATTAAAAAGTCCTACACAAGTCCAGCTCTGCTTCAATACCTTTATTCTTGTCTTCCCTTTTCCCTTCTTTGCCTCATTTCTCTTCCTGTTTCATTATGTGGCTTGCTTTGTTTGGTGTGCTCCCTCAATCTAAATGACAACCTTCTGCATCATCTCTCCGAGGAACTCAGCAGTCAGTGCTAGTGATGGACCTCCCAAAACTCCAGAACATGGCAAGCAAACATATTTGCCATTGGAGTAAATGAATAAGCATTCTTTTAATCATTTCAGGCTCCACAAAGATATCCCATCCCTCATTCTGATCAAGAAATTCAGGTATACCAGCCAAAATTGAATTAGAGCAATTGCATACTACCTCCACAGAATTTTCCGTTTACATTCTTCCACCCTAAACCTCTGATGTGGGGATGGTATGTATATTTTACTTTTTTAGCTTAAGCCTAGTTAAAAATGCCCTTCAGCAGAGAATAAGATTATGTGTTTCACTCATCTGCAGAAGATTTCAGAAAAACAGGCAATATTTAAGGGAGATAAATACCTACAGCCAAGTTCATAACAGAATGAATCTCTAGCAGACTGACTCCTCTGAAAAAGAAAGTAGGAGTTTAAGTCACTTCTGCCTATTCAAGCTCACTTTTAACCTTTTATATCCCCCTGGTCATCTACTCACCTACAAAATACTGACATGCACAGTCACTTCCCATCCCCGGTCATTACAGACACTAGTATTTAACCTACAACTTACACATCATTCCATTTCCTAGAAAAGCATGAATTTAAACACCATCTTAAGTCTCTTCTTGACCTCCTGCTCTTATGTCAGACATTCATCCCACTCCATGAATGAATGGAGTCAGACACATCATTCATGAGCTGCATTCAGTGAGTTCACATTAATTTTTTATTGACATTCTTGAAATTTACACAACTGCTCAGAAAAGCCTGGAAAATCTGGATAATATTTATTACCTAATTGTATCAAATTAGTTGTATTATGAAATTACTCTGCATTTATAATTTCTAAATAAGACTCCTAATGTGCCAAGAATGGACATGATGAAGAAATGTACCCTTAAAGGCTATATTTTGACTGAATGGCTGCAACCTCTATTCGTTGCAACGTCCAGCTTGGTCCCTCTTTGAAGTGATAACTGCAGTTTCTTGATAGTTTCGTCAACTAGTGTGTCTGACCAAGCTGGCTGCTTGCCATTATTTTGTCATTCTTGTTGTTATTGTATCTCTGTGGGGTCTGTGTCTCTGTATGTTTTGCTTGTTGCAGCCCTGTCTTTGATCAGATAACTTTATGGGAGCAGACATTGTCTCCATTCACGTACTCTTACTGATAATTTTTGTGATTACTCTGCATAATATAACAACACTGAATGATTTTTAATACTTTGAAATTTCTACCTGTCTGAATCCCATAAAAAATTTTTGTGATTACTCTGCATAATATATCCCATAAAGTAACCCCCCTCATTTTCAACCTCCTTCATTTAATCCAGCAATGAAAATTCATCCAATACCCACCCCCCATGAGAAAATACATGTTTTAATGCAAATAGAAATATCTGCCTAACCACAAATATTAAACTATTCACTTAATCTATTTATTCCAATATCTGTTAGGCTAATTCAACATTCACACTGCATTGAATTTCCCAAATCTGCCCTGGGGAGAATGCTGTACAAAGCATGTAGCACTTAAAGTACCATTTATTACCTACACTGTATGTAATTTTTAATGTTATTAATATTAATATTTAAAAACACCAAAGATTTTACCCCAGACTCTCCCACTTTTTCTTTACACTTGATCATCTCAGTGCAAGGAACCCCACCTTACACACTAATTCAGAAAACAAGTCTCTTCTCTTGGATTAATACAAGGCTTGATGGTTCTTTCTTCCCCTTTACTTTCCCTTGGACTTTGAATCTACTCACTCAATCCCCAGGGTTTCACCATCCCTTCTCATGGAGCGCTGGTGCACTCAGACTCACAAAACTTCTCAGTAACAAGGGACCTGACCTCATGCTCCAGTAAGTGGCAGAAGACAAAAACCCTCCTTGCTCAGTTGCAGCCTGTCTGCAGCAATCTCTGAAGCTACTTCAAAGCAAAAAAGCACCTAGTAGGCAACGCCAATGCCGAGAGGGCATTATCTGTTAACAGGGCTGGAGGAAAATAGCCAGTGAAAAATCCATGTGAAACCAATGCTCTAGTCAAATATAAATTGTCTCACATTTTCTATATTAAGAAATTTATATGTCTAACCATATATACATTATTTTACATCCACAGCTATACCTGTGCTATTACTTCAGTAAGATGTATTAGGTAAGTAAATATATGTTTTACATATGTCACTTCTTAATTTTGAAACAGCTAAAAAATATGTCTACAGAACATATTAAATAAATAGGGACCACCAAAAAGAATTTCAGATTGAAATGACAATGATTTATAATTTGAATCATGTCAACAATAGCTATATGTATTTAATGAACTATTTTCCACAAAGACGAGGGGGAAAATTGACCATATGTAAAACAAAGTAAGAAATTTTATGTACTGATTTCATATTTTTCTGAGAAAATTATAGCAAGCAATGACCTTCCAGCTTTTATATAGGAGAAATAACCATGACAGCTAAGGTAACGGCTAGGTAAACAGCTATTGACACATTAGCTTCTAGGACTTTATATTCAATTAAATCCCACACAAGTGAACAAACAAAAATATTTCTTTTAAAAAAAAATTTCTGAAATAAATGCATTGTAGTCTTTCAGTGGTGCACAGATACCTATAAATAGACATTTCCCATAGTGAAACACATGCTGAGCTTACCAGAAAATGATTACCACCTAGTGTCTAATGCTAGTATTACCAATGTGGGAGGAACAAGGGAAAGACGAACTCTAAAATTAGAGAATCACTTCTGAATATGCTAGAAGACTACATGGTTTCTTTCTGACAATTAACTAGCAGTCCAAAAAAGTAACATAAAATATACATCAAAACTGGCCCAGCCCTAAGAAATTCAAGAACTACTAGATCCTTTCAAAATGAAAGTGCAGGTCAGCATTTGGGACAATTCTGCACTGAAAGTAAGTTCTTTGTGCTAGTGTATCCTCTTCCTAGAAACTGAAGTACATATGGACACTGTCAGACTAACAGGCAAGAATTCGGGTTGGTTGCTTCCTAATGTATAGCAAACAGACAACACCAATCCACAATGCTGGAGCTTATCCTTGCTCAATTTGTGATCACCCTGACTGACCCTACTGAATGTTAACTTCTACTTATCAGCAAAACAGTAGGTTACTTATGTTGTGACCTGCCTAGTGGATGAGGGAAACGCTGTGGATATAGTCTACCTGGACTTCAGTAAAGCCTTTGATAGTCTCCCACATCATTCTCCTGGAGAAGATGGCAGCCCATGGTTTGGACTGGTGCACTCTTTGCTGGTTAAAAACTGGCTGGATGCCCAGGCCCAGAGAGTGGTGGTGAATGGAATTACATGCAGTTGGCATCCAGTTACTAGAGGTGTTCTCCAAGGCTCAGTATTGGGGCCAATCCTATTTAATATGTTTAGTGATGCTATGGACAAGGGGATGGAGTACACCCTGAGCAGGTGGCACCAAGTTGGGTGGGAGTGTTGATCTGCTGGAGGGTGGAGAGGGATCTGAACAGGCTGCATTGATTGGCTGAGGCCATTTGTATGAGGTTCAACAAGACAAAGTGCATTTGAGTCACAGCAACCCCATTATTTGCGATATGGTTAGATTCGATCTCAAAGGTCTTTTCTAATCTAAATGATTCTATGATTCTTTAATTCTACAGTTTTCATAAAGGCACAGCTCACCTCACAAATATATATGCTACTTCTTCGAAGGAATCAGAAACAAGTGTATACATTGATTTTTGAACTCATTTTCTAAACAAATCAGCAAGAACCTAGGGAGAGACTTGAGACAAATTAGCTGCTAGACATAGGAAAAAAAGCTGGTTTATGTACTGACAGTAGGTTTAAGCAATAACAATAAAAAGGAGGTAACAAACTCTGAATTTTCAGCATATAGTGAATTAATCAATGGACCTTTGCTTAGAACTATGACGTTGAACAGTCTGGGTGAAGACTGCTCCCTGTTTAGGCTCTTCCTACTTTCTTTTAATATGGGTATTGTAATAAGCTGGACATAGAAGTGTTGTGATCTTGATGAGTGAGCTGCCATCAATACATGCCATTTTTATATCCTGCTATTTCTCCTCAATAACCTGTCACCAGCTATTATCCATAGCTGAAAAGACAAAAACCTTACTGTTCCCTTTGATTGAGTCTAATTGTGCTTAGAGTAAGCAGGAATTACACAGATTCATTGCAGGGAGACTAAAACCTATTGCTTACTGTGTTAGTTTCATAAAGATTGATAATGCAGTTTCTTGCCCACATCTTTTAGAGACTGGCCTCATAATATTTCAGTAAGATGTAAACTTAATAACATTGTAAAAAAAATATTTGGCTGGGGATTGGTTTCTGATCTACTGCCATTTAACTGTAGCAAAAAGAGCATGTTTGTTTTCTAATGACTGTTTAAGTAAAACTGTTTGTAAACAGTCATATGGTAAAATGTTATAACAAAATGCTAGGTGCACACCCAGTTTTGCCTTGAGCTTATATTAACTTTTTATACCCACAGTCTTTTGACAAGGAATTGCACAGGTCTGCTTCCTGTTGCATGAAGAAACACTAGCCTTTTGGTTTTGCTGAACTAGTGGGGATTTGGTTTTTTTTTTTGTGGGTTGTGGGGGGGGGTTGTTGTTGGGATTTTTTGTTGTTGGTGGTTTATTTTGTTTTGTTGTTTTGATTGGTTTATTTTGTTTTCTTGACTGTTCCTTTTGAGTTAACTTTCTGGACTTGTCTACCTCTAGCTTCATATATATGGGATT